AAAAAACAAAACAAACAAAAATCACTTGGTTGAGAGCTTTTTCTAAAACTGTGGAGACTCATATCTTACTGAAGACAAATTTAAAATCTAAATAAAATGTCTTTAAGAATAAGAAATCCTGCAGGTTGCCCATTCTTGATTCCATCAAGTCAGAAACGAGTAAAGTGGTAATATCTTTTGCCTCAGGCTTTTGTGCCAGGGGGCATTTTCAATCATCCCTAGGGCATGTTTATTGATGTTGCTATCCGATGACTGAATCCTCCATCTTCTGACCAGGATGCGGTCGTTCCAGGAACATTGTGACTGTTCATACTGGGTATATAGGCAGGAACTGTGTGTTGCCTTCACTGGCCATAATCAATGTAGGCTTTGCACAAGTTAACTGTCTCTTTTAAAAGCTCATTAAAAGTCAATCGTGCAAATCTAAAGAACTATTTTTGAAGCTTCCAATTTCTCCTAAGCCTTTATATCTACTGTCCATTCTAATGTTTAATCTTTTTCATTTTTTGCTTTCTGTTTTTATTATCGGCCCTGTAAACAAACTATATTAAATTATAATACTAATATATTATATATATATACATACAGTATATATAAACTACTTTTTATACTCTTTTAAACTTTATCTAAGAAAGTTTACCATATCCCTGTACTCTGGCTAAATTCATGACAGGATTCTGGCATTTCTTAACATTTTGATTGCCTCCTGTCAAAGTCACTATAACAAAAATATATTTTTTTCTTTGTCCATTTCTATTTTAGAAACTCAGCCTGCTCTTTTTTTGACAGCTGTCAAAAAGGCTTGTTAGCAAAAACACACAGCACTGCAGCTGCTGTAGGATCCGAGCTCCAGGATTTGATGCTCTCCTTACAGAGTTGATGGCCTATGGACATTTGAAGAGATAGCTGTACTGGAGCTCAGTCGGCTTAGAAAGTCAGACAGAGTTTCTTTGTTTACAACACCATCCCGTTAGTACCTTAATTATCGCCATGTCCTTTTTGTGTATGCAATCCAGCAGGTGGAGACAATGTGACAAAAACAACACAGTTCATGCTAACCTCCGTGATGACACCACAGGTTTGTGCTTTTGTAGCTGAAATATCTGTTAAATGCAAAATGCTGACGCTGTGCAGTATATTTCCTCCTGTAGTGACGCACCTGACATGTAGGTTAGGGTTAGTTTGGCAGCTAAAATAGTGCTGGAAGTAGTAAGTAGTAAGCGCTAGTTCCAACCTAAGCTAATGCTAAATAAGTAGCAAAGGGAAAAAACTGAGGCAGGTGATTTAGTTTGAGAGGACTTGTTTTCTTGAAAATTGGCATCAATCACCAGGACTTTACGTGTTTTCTTGAAAATTGGCATCAATCACATTTTCTCTCACTGACATGTCATTTAGTTTGAATGCACATATTTTGGAGTGTGAAAGGAGCCGAGAAAACTCAGTTTGACTTTTAATGAATCATCTCACAGAATAGTTTTTAGCAGGGCTCAGCTAGAATGGACTCCTAAGTAGGAAATATACTGTTAGAGACAGGTATTTAATGGGATTCCTTTATTATTTAAAGTAAGCGGAGGCCAAATGTCGTGTTTATAATAATTTATTAGTTTGGTAATCTTCTACTACCTTTTCAGGGTAACAAGGGAATACCAGAGGCAATCCCAGCAGTCCCAGGGCAAAGGTAGGTCACAACTAGGACAGTTTTTCACCTCATCAGAGGACACCAAACAAAGAGACAGTTTATTTTTGCACACTTACATACACTATGGCTAATTAAGGGTTCAAGCACATGTCCAGTGTCAGATAATATGGCCCTGTATGATATAATTTGTATGGATTTTTTTTTTCTGGCATCTGATATTTCATTATTATGTGTACTGAGAGTTAGATGTTCTGGGGCTTAAGTTTTGTAAATAAAATGTGATATGAACAAACTGAACAACAAAAATATATTCATGAGATAGAATAATATAAGTACAAAGTTAGCCAAAGTATCTTGATTCAATAATAACTAAACTAATGTAGCTAAACATAGAGCAATTGGAATTTAACTTTTTTTTTACAAAATATAAAAACGAAAATAAAATGTAGAAATAGGGTAAATAACTTTGGGCTTAAACAAATAGGTTACAACTTTCTTCAGACACTGCTAAAGGGCAGAAATAATTAGAACACCTGCACATGAATGACTAAACGACATTTAAATATCCCAATTATGAAAAAGTAAAGAAAAAAATTAACCAAAATAAATATAGAGCTTGCTAACACTTGTTCTAGAAATAAACAAAAACATCGTAAGACTTTCCCAAGTGATTGACAGTGTGTCACTTCCGGTGAAGTTTAAGATAGCAACATGTCCGACGTCACCTGTGTGTCGTGAAACATGAGTAAATAAAACGGTAAGCTTTTTGACATAAATGTTTTTAGGGCCAATTGCTTATGTAAGTTATCATTACGCCGCAGGTATGGAAGTGAACGAATTAAAGTCAAAACGTTAGTTAGCTTCACATGGGTTGACATAACGTTTGCTCAGTCAAAGCTTTTGAAACCACCGTTCACGTCTGGAACCTTCGAACGTACAAAGTACATTTGAACTTCGTTCTTTTGTAGGTTTGCATTAACTCCATCTCACTGTGTGGTCTTTTACTAAATAAATCTAGTTGTCGCCACACACAAGATTTGGGTATTTTTAAACATTAAAAATACACTTCCAAAAACACAAAAGATTTGAGATAAACTACAGATATCGTTTAGCCGGCACCTGCTGTTGACTGCAATTGTATCGTTTAGTGTGTATCTTCAAAGTACAATTAACATATTCAATCGCTTTTATACCCTTAACTTTTGTTATGTAAAAACAAAAAGATTAAATTATTTTTAACGTATCCATTGCTTGTCTTGTTGAAGCAATCCCCATTGTGTCCACTAGATGTCACAATAGCCTCAAAAATCCATAGATAAGCTTTGAGCGAAATATCACTTCCTAGTTTTTGTAATCAGATGCAAGAAAAAAAAAGCCCGAGTTCAATACAAATGAAAATATCTAGCCGGCTATGGAAACAATTAAACAAATATAGTTAATGTTTGCAAAGACTACCAGTAAATTTAAATAATATTGTAGGTGTTTTGTCTGCTCTTGTTTTGATCTTCAGAAACAAAACACATTTTAAACAATTACTATTTTAATTCACTTCAGCAAACATTATTGATTGAATTTGGTGTTGCACCAAAGTTATTCGACTTATTTGCTGTTTCCTGCTTTCACGTTATATCTACCAAAAGAGGGAGACATTGCGTTGAAAATGAAGGAGAGAAATCTTCATCTTAGACCTAAAGTTCACTGGCCACAGACAGTGTTATATATTTACAATATCTGTTCTCAGAGAATTAACCAGTCCTCAAATGATTTTACATGTTAAAATATGAAGGTTTCATTTATTTATTACATTTTTTTACCTGGATTTCACATATTTCTCATTGAGAAAAGATTTTTGAGGTGGATCTTTTGTCCCATGTTATTGTAAATTCTGTCGGGCAAAGGGAATGTCTTGTAACACAGGCCTGGAAAGCTGACATGGAGAGTCATGTGTGAATGTAGTCAGAAGATGGCATGGGTGACAGGTTATTGCTCGGCCGTCAGTGTTGGTGGGCCGGACAGGCTGCCAGTGTGTGGTGAGCCCAGCTCCTTTCTGCCTGCTGGAGATGTAGTGAGAGCTGTTTGACTCAGCCCTAAGCCGCTCTCCCCACGCAGGCTCCCTTCACCAGCGTTCACCTAAATCTGTCACACAGATTTGACACTGCGTCACTCCGAGTGCACTCTGAAATGACATCTATATAATGTGGAATATTGTGCACATTTACAGCCTGGACTTCCCTCAGAGCCTTAGCGTCTTTTTGGTCCAGTCTGATTTTTTTTTTGTCTGGCCAATATTCGTTTTAAGAGTTTTACCATTTTTTCCAAATATTAAAAATTATATTAATAAAAATAATTTACTTGGCAAATAAACATCCCACTCAAAATGCTATATATTATTTAGAATAATTTTGCATGAAGTTTATTTGACAAAATAACCCAAAGCATATATTTTAATAAATATATTAATAATATAATAACAGTAAATATCAATGCATTCCATAAAAGTAACTGAGAACTGGGGACTCATTATCATCGATTCATTAATACATGTTGATGCTTTTTAGGATATTTTATTTTAGGATACATCTTTTCAACCTTTTATTACAGTCAATCAATGCACATATAAATAAATATATAAGCAAGAATATTAATTTAGATAATTGTAAGAATAATATTAAATATAAAATCGATATTAATTGACAGTAACACTGATTAAGCAATGTGTAAATTTACCTCTTAAAACATTTGATTTTTTTTCATAAATGTGCAAATGCAGCACAAATTGTCTGCATTGATTATCTATAATCTTTTCTTTTTTTTTTCTATTGATTATCTATAATTTTTTTTTTTTTTTCATTTTAACACTGCACAACTGAAAAACCACTGCAGTGGTAAAATTCCAGCACTCTCACTTCCACAGAAATCCCTGCATTTTCAGACCTGCATGTCTGACCGTTTGATTTTGTCTGAGGAACTTCTGCATTAGGATCTGACTCATGACAGCAGAATGAGGGCCATTTACCCAGGATTCCCTTCTTCCCCTCATAAGGCTTTCACTCTGACGCTTTCCTCTGTAGTATTTACTGGATAAAGTGGCGGCAACTGGCCTCAGTGGCCAGTAAGAAGGCTTTTCTCTCCCCAGCTGCTGGTGCTTTGCCCATTTGAACTGCACCGAGTGGTTATGAAACTGGGTTGTAGTTGAGAGTCCTTGAAAGGCTGAGGTTTAAAATAATTACATTTCTGTTAAATCACAGTTTGGCTTGCAGGGATATTGGTTGTCTGATTTTATTTTTTATTTTTTTCTATACAAAATTAATGTGTTATTGTTTCCAGCAGCTCACAGGAGGAACATTATGATTCACTTATCCAGATGTAAGTGAGGAGTCGTGGATTTCTCCTCTGGGATTCTCCAGGCCTTTGAACAGAAAAGGGGATGCTAAAAACCTGCTAAAGAAGTTAGCGCCAACCAGGATCCTTCTCTTCTCCACAGGTAATGAGTTTGATTAATTTTTGACCTTTGGAAACGTTCACTCCTTTTTAAGTACACTTTTTTTTTTTTTACTTTCCCACCCTGGGATAATAAGGAGCTGTGTATTGTGCGGTTTTACACAGGGGACCTAAAATGGTCACACTGGTTTTTTCTTATGAAATTACACAGGTCCACAAAGGCCACAAAGAAAAATAATTATTAAAGTGCATATACCCAAGACCCCCCCCCTCTGCTTTTGGTTTTAGGACATTAATCAAACATTTTTGCCCCAGATATAAATATGATTACACCGTAAAAGAAATATGTACTATGAGATACTTTCTTAACCTAAAGGTAGACTTTAAAAAAAAACTTTTTGGCCTATAAATAATAATGCTAGGGATGCTTATTTTCTCACACAGGTGTTTAGAGATCGGCTCTCTGATAAATCATGATTTGTAAACTTTCCCATAGACAGCAGTGACAGGTTTCCTGAGATAATGTAGAAAAATGGGGAAAGAGAGGGCCATGCTTAAGTAGAGCTGTGATTTAGAGCGGAGAGATGCAGCGTCTCTCCCTTCCAGTGGAGGCCCTCCTGGGTTTGATTTAATTCTCTCCTTGCACTATTAAAAAGGCCTTCCACTCTCTTCACTGCATGCACCTTGCTGTCATAACTGGCACAAAATCATTTATCAATGCCGCATGTAGGCACTGCGACTCAGGCCTTTTGCAGTATATATATATATATATTTTTCCATTATTGATTGTGGGTGTAATAATCCGGGAACTACAAAGATGCGTCTCCTCTTGTGTTAGAATGACCACATTAAGGCCAGGAGATGAGGGAACCTTTTTTTTTTTCTGTTCCATCTGTAAACGCATATATACGACAATCCCCAGTCGTGCAGGAACAAAATCTTTACGTCACAGTTCTTCTTCATGTCATTGTTGTCCTACTGGCTGCTGAGCCTCCCAGCGTCGATGATCCCTCTGACGCTGGACACTCAGCCAGCAGTTGTTATTTTTTTATTTTTTTATTTTTGCGATTAAACTGAAAGGCAGTGAATGTCACTGTTCCTCTTTGTTGTTTAATTTATTTTCTTTTCAAAGTGAAGGGAGGTGGCCTTGCTGTGAGAGTTAGTCATTGATGTGGCTATAGTTAGTCTGGCCCCTGCTGTGACTGTCTGTAGGAGATGCTACTTCCTCTTTCCTGTTCGTTCAAGGCTTCATTTTGCCCTGAACTGCCTCGCCTCAAACTCTGGCTGTCGGGGCTGTGCTGCTGTTGTTGTTGTTGTATGTGTGACTGTGCTCACTCTCAATCACGAACAAAAGATGAATGTGTGAGGTGGAGCGGTCGGTTCTGTTTGAAGCGTTCAAACACACCTGCGGTACAGTAACCATCTCAACAAAGCTGCTTCTAATGAGACGCCACTGAGATCAGTGTCTTTGTTAAGGATGTCAAAGTTAACCATTTAAAGTCATTATGATGTATTACGTAATGTCCCTTTAGCACAGTAGTAGTGGAATTTCCAGGAGTTAATTTATTTTTGTGATCCCCTCGTGTGGTCTTAACAACTGAGTTATTAGTGATACATGTGAATCGTGGCAGGAGATTTCAGATTAGTTAAGAAAAGGTTAAAGGCTCTCCTACACTGATGCCAGGAGTCTGAACACAGAATTCTTTCAAAAGCTTAATCAAATGGAGGATTTACAAAAAGAATTTAGTATTTAATTTATTGTGTACCTACAGTATGTTAGTGTGGGTAGACCATGGATATGTTGTATAATTATGCAGTGTAACTGCTGGGACATGGTCTTAACTGTTAATAGATTCCATTTGTTTTGTTTAGAGTTCTAATGATACTAAATAGTTTTATCAACAACTGAGTAGTTGTCTTATCAGGAATTGATGAACCCACTGCTCAATAAGCTTAAGGTAAATGAAAAGAATCTATTGCGGCCCAGAAGCCCTTTATCTCAGCTGTCTTAAATATTGGCACTTACAGTGATTTGTCCCCATTTTCTATTGATTTCCTGTTTTGCTTCCAGGTTATGGTGTAAACAGAGTAAATAATGACAGATTTGAGCAGCAGACAAAACACACCAGGCCACCGGTGCGGCTGCTGTAGCTCACCTCTCAGCTTTTATGACTAATGACGATTCTTTCACGTCCACAACTCGCTCAGCGGAGGCGGGGTTCAGCCGATGATGTTGACGAGAGTTGGCAGGAGACGCGTTAGTGTGCTAATTGTAATTCATAAGTCAGATGGAAGGAGGTGTGGCTTTGGCCGGGGTGTGTGAAGTTCAGAGAAGGAAACCCTGGCTGAAAGGGACAGGCGTGAGTCAGTAATTCAGGGGGGAAAAAAGGTGTACATGTTTAAAAAAAAAAAATTCTGGAATCCTGATTCACATGGCCCGTGGAGTGTGTATTCCTGAGCTGTCAGCTGCAGGGATGCTGCCCTCTATCTGTAATTTTTTCTGTAATCTTTCTGCAACAAGTTCAGATGTTCGAACATTACCTTGAGTAAAAAGTACTCGAACCAGTAGATGGCGGTAATGGCACTCAAAGTTAAAGTTCATTAAAACCTAAGTAAGAAGTGAGGGATTAAAACGATTATCTGAATAATACTGTAATCATGTGTTGTAACTTTTGTGGTTGTTAGAGATTAAGAATGTACCTGTTAGTTCTTCACTTGTGGGAAGAAGAGAGGTTTACAGACCAGCAGACATAAACACAGCTCGGCCAATTGAGTTAGTAGATTAGTATTAGATTAGGATTACCAGCTAACTCTAATTTGTCTGTCATGAAGTGCATTTAGTGGACAACAGTCAGTTAATAAATACATACATTTTATTCAGAGTAACATGATTATACCTAAGTGAATAAATACAGTTGTACTTTTGTCTCAACCCCTGACAACCCTCTGTTAAATCGTAATATACAAACACATAATAGTATGATTTTACATATAATATTTATACTAAAAACTGAGAAACGATGTTACCATAAATATGTATAACTCTAGGAAAACTAAAAAAAACCAAAACTTTGTACCTCTGGCATTTATTTTGAATGCACGCGTCTGCGATGTTCTTTTTTCGGGTTTTATCAATTCTATATCACTGTCTGGAATACACCGCTAAGCCCAATCTCCAAGGGCTCACATATAGCTCTCTCTGCAGGCTTTGTACAAGATGAAGAAGTCATAATCCTCAAACAGACTTAAATTCCTCCAGAAAGGCTCTTGATCCTAAATCCACTCATTTTCTTCAAACAACTCAGCCCAAAAGAGAAGGAGTATTTGGGCATGCCTGAAATCCTTGATTGAAATCTGCTACAAGTGGGCACAGGCGTGTGTGTGGCTGTGCACACACGACTCGATACGATAAACGCATGCGCACATAACCCTAAAACGCACCCCAAACCCTAAAAGTACACACGGACGCCTCCCCAGCCGCAGTCGGCTGTCAGTTAAAGTCTGGGCCGGGCGACTGGGAGGGTCTCGCTGAGCTATTATTAAAAGGTAAACTTCTTTAAAGCCTGGGAATCATGTCTATCACAGGTTGTGTTTTCGCACCAAGCCCAAAGCCTGCTCTCTCCAACCCTGTGAGACGCTGTTATCACCCTCAAAGCCATATCAGAATGCTGTTTGTTCTGCGCTTTACTTTCACCCACACAGTGGATTCAAAAAGCTACAGGTCTATTTGATAGTGTATATTTCATTGCCAGAGAGGGAGGGAGGGGGAGAGAGAGAGAGAGAGAGAGAGAGAGAGAGAGACTGACTGTGTTTGTCTTGCTGTGTTTGTCAGCTCATATTATTTGAGCTGACGGTTCCTATTAAAACTAAACACCACATCAGAGGAATATTGCCGCCACCACCAGACTCTTTTAAATCGCATATTGAGCCCATGGTGTGTGGAAGCAATTTAGTTGTAGCATAGTTTATAAGTGTGTCTGTGGCTGTGATTTTTTTTTTTTTTTTTTTTTTTTTACTCTCAAATCTCATTTATTTGGAGACGGCAGTCTTCCTCCACATTTTTCATATACTGTCATAATTACTTTAGTTATATTGTCATTTGTAATATTCCAAAAATATTACCTTTGTTTGCAGTTTCACTTATTTAATAAATCCTTTGGGTATATTGGCGTTATCATGGGAGATTTACAAAGTCCTCATAGTGATCAAGTCTGCTTAGACCAGAAAACTTCATATGCCTTTATATTACTTTTTATAGCTATATAAGTGAGTGAACGACTGAAGAAGGCTGTGTGGTTAACAAGGCCATCCAATGTGTTATGTTGTTGTTTTGTTAGGCTTTGTGCTTCAACCTCATTACGGTGCTCTCTGGGAATTTTTGTTTTGTTTTCATGATGTCAGGGTCAGGGTTGTAAATTCTCAGAAAGAGTTGATTTCTAGTGTTCTAAAAATAATAAATAGAAGTATATTTTGCTAACCCCCATCCCCCAATAAAAACGTATGTAACTGCTGAAGAAATCAAGTTCAAAGATTAGATTAAACGATGTTTTCTGAAAATGAATTTGAAAAATGTAAAGTATATTTATATGTGAAATCTCCATTAAATGAAAGTCTATGAAAAAAGTGACCCCACATAATAATGGAGAATCATTAATACATTAAACAAGCTTCTCTTTAAACCTCAATATTGATCCTTTAAACCCGTCTTCAGATATTAAACCACAGCCCCTGTATGCACTCTCCTCTCGGTGTCAATGACTTCAAATACTTCACAGATCTTCCACATTCTCCTCAAATATGAACAAGTAAAACAATAGCAAAGCAGCAGAGCCATCTCATTCATTAGTAGGTTTGCTGGACAAACTGCAGGACTCAACACTGAGGGTGGCTGGGGAAATAAAAAGGTACTTAACGTAGGTATTGACCATGTTGCTGGATTGACTGCTGTTTGATCTGTGACCAACCGTCCGCAACAGACACACACTACAAAATGGAGAATTTTTCATCTGTTGAGAAAAAGAGAGTACTGAAGAAGGAAAACTC